AATTTATATATTTTTATTTATATATTTTTAAACTTAAACTTATATATATATGTTTTAAAATTTATAAAATTATTTTTTACTTAAGTAAAAGTGGAAAAAAATTATAAAAAATTGGTGAAAAATTATTATATATTTGCTAATTTTATATAGTTGTAAATATCATTTTATTTTTGTCATAATATATAAGAATGCAGTTAAAGAATTTACAAATTTTTATATAAAGTGGTATTATATAAACCAGGCATGGGCAACCTTTTTATATTAATTAAAGACCATACTATACTGTTTTTATGTCAGATCAGGCTGAAACATGACAAACATTTGATTTAATGAAGAATTTACTTAAAAGCTGATGTTTTAGTATTTTAAAGTTCAATTTCACATCAAGATTACTATATTTTTTTGCCTTCTAAAATGTACTTTTTTGTACCTGAAAGTTATCTGAAAATTAGGATGTGTCTTTTACTGTAAAGAGTATTTTCTCTTCCAAAAATTAACATAAAAAAAAGTGATGCATCAAATACAATGGTGCAACTTTAAGATGAAAATATGGTATATGCAATATTTATAAGCAATAAAATTTTATAATTTATTTTAAAGTGTAGGTAAAAAATTTTTAAAAAATACCCATACTTACTTAATGTTAGAATTTTGGATTTGCAACTTATTGACGAATTTTTAATATATTTGTCAGTTTTAATCTTGTTTTTGATTTAATAGCTTTCATTCAATAAAATAATTGTTTACATGTATGGATATCCCTAAATATCAAAGCATGTGTCTTAGCAATATCTACAATTTTTGAAAAGTCTTTTTATTCGGAGATTGAAAAAAGTTATAATAAAAGGTCTTGAAATTTTTGCTTCAGAAATCCATTTGCAGAAGTTCATTCAATTTTATTTGAAGTTTTTTCATGCCAGCTCAACATATGACTTAATGCATATGAAATAAAGGTCTAGATCCATGATTTTCATTCTGTCATTGTTAAATCTTGAATTATTTGTCAATGGTCTCATCAGAAAAGGAAACATATTCAGACTTAAAGATTGATTTATATAGAGAAATAATAAGTATGTACTAATTATAAAAATAACAACACACTTCTAAACTGTCTTTTTCATAGCTAAATTTTATTTTGAAAGGCTTTAATATGAGTATACTGTTAATGAATTAATTGAATGTTGTAATTTCAAATTTAGACTACTGTATTTAATGCTACAAACACAATAGGTTTTGAATATCTAAGAAGAATGATAGCAGTCATTTTTGACTAATCATTTTATTTGTAATTTTAATGAATAATTTGTGTTACTTAAAATAATATAAAATATTCATTATTAACATTTATTTATTGATCAAATTATTGGTACAGTAAATACTTTAAAAACATACCTTCTTTTTGTAAAATATGTTCTTGAATGGAAAATATTTTTTTTGTTAAAAAATCTTAGACATTTAGTTACTATTAAACCAGGGTACTTTGTGACACTTTTTGTACTTTTTTAAGGTTAAGTTCTGGATTATTGAACCAAATGTATTACTAGTTGTCATTTTAGGAAGATTTAACATTCCTCTTTCTTTAAACAGAATAGAAACTCATCAAAATAGCAGATCAGACATTTGTTCTTTATTTTCATGCCACTACTGTACTAACATTTTCCAACAGACTCTATTGCACTTATATGCTCACCAGCTTTTTTTAATTTCTATTATAATGCCATAGTAGCATTTCTGTTCAAAAATTACAATTACATGATTACTAAATTTTTTGTCTTCTAGATTAAATCTTCATTATACATGATGTTTTATTTTGCTATTTGAATCTCATAATTTTGCAATTTTACTCCTTACACTTTCATCAGATTTTTTTATGTACTATTGCAAAATAAAACCCCTCAATTGTACAAAATTTACTTTTAGAACTTACACCAGCTAAACCAATTAATAAAAATTAATTGTACAGTGTGATCATAAAGTTCCTCTTTAGTGGACCATGCTCATGTGGCTTGATCAAGTGGTGATGTCATAACTTACTTTAAAGGTTCCAAATTATGAAATCTTTTATACAATAGTAAGATATTTTGGGATAAAGGAATGAAAGGTCATCAGATGTCAATAATTTTTGTGGGCATAAGACAGAAATTAAATAAACAAAAAATTTTCAATAAAAAATAACTGTTTTTTCTTTTAATGTTAAATGGGTGTAATGTCAATGAAAAATGTAAGATAACAAATTCAGTCACTGTCATTAAGTTGTGGAATGATCCTGCATACTTTACAAATTCACCATCCAAGTAGTTTTTTTGAATGCTTGGTAATTTTTGCTAATAATATACAGTAGTTCATATGCGTAATTTTATTAGAAACATTTGTCTATTAGAAATGTTTTCAGCTTCCTGGTCTGTGTTGTTAGGGTTTCTTTGAACTTTCTGCTGTTTTCCTGAAATTTATTATATGTAGAATGCTTGATAGTGTAATGACTCTTACTATTATATGCTTTACACCTAGACATTGATTCTGGACATAGCAAACTTACAAGGGAACTGTCGGAGTGTCTTCTAATAAATTTTAATAAAATTTAGTTAATAACTACGTTAAAAGTATACAAACTCTATTTTAAATTTGTAGCATTCACTAAAAGTGCTGATCAGAGTTATTAGCAATCAAATGTTGCACTACTTTATAGTAGTTTAACACAATTATGCAAATTTTTAGAAGTGAAAGAGTCGTGGAGGAAGACGGCGATATTACATATAGAATAAATTCTGGAATTTTCAAAAATGGTTGAAGAATTAATAAAATTTTGTATACTTTTAACATAATTATTAACTAAATTTTATTAATTCTTCAACCATTTTTGAAAATTCCAGAATTTATTCTATATGTAATATCGCCGTCTTCCTCTGCGACTCTTTCACTTCTAAAAATGTGCATAATTGTGTTAAACTACTATAAAGTAGTGCAACATTTGATTGCTAATAACTCTGATCAGCGCTTTTAGTGAATGCTACAAATTTAAAATAGAGTTAGTAACTACGTTAAAAGTATACAAACTAAATTTTATTAAAATTTATTAGAAGACACTCCAACAGTTTCCTTGTTAGCAGTTTATTTTTCTCTTCAGCAAAAAGTATTGGTTCATTTACTTTTTCTGAAATATTCTCATTTCATCTGATAGAAATTTTGTTTTTTTTTTTTTTTTGAAAATGCAAATTATGAGAATTTATTAAAAATCTGAAATTATAGTAGTAAAACATCTTGTTGAACCAAACGCTCCAGTAAATAATCATGGAAAGGAGGACTAACATTTTTGATTCTTTCCATAGATCTGAAGATTCTTCAGGTCAAATGTTTTGAACTGGTATGCTTCAATTCTTCATACTGGAGTGTATACACTCCAGTATAAAGAATTGAAGCATACCAGTTCAAAACATTTATCCTGGAAATGTAAATGTATGAAGAATTGCTGTGAGTAGAACAAATCTGAAATTTAGAAAATTACATTTTATAGCCTGAAAAAAACTTCTCTTTTTGAGAAAGAAAATGATTAACTTTCCAGCTGACATTGTCATGTATATGAATATTGAATATTTTTTTTATTACCAGATTTAACCTGATTTGATAGATATTAGTTGCCAGATCATTGACTTGACTGTATAAAATTACTTAGCATTAATGTACTCATTTTATATCATTATATTGCTGAACTTTAACTTTGTTAAAGTTCAGCAATATAATGATATAAAATGAGTACATTATAATTTAAAATCAGAAACCTCATAATTTTTTATTTCTGAATATTTCTAAATAGTAGTGTAGACCCAAATACAAAGAATCCATGTTATTATGGAATGATTATTTAAACTTGCTAATTACAATTGACAGTTCATATGTATTGCCAAGTATACTATTTGTGAAAGAAATGTGAATACTATGGATAACTAAAATTCATATTTATCACTTACAGCCTCGTGATCTTTGTTCATTGGACATGTGGACTTTAAACTACTTATGACATAAATACAGTGGGTGATTGGTTAACGAACATAATCCGTTCCAAGACTCTGTTCATTATCTGATTATTGATTTACCATAGGTTTTTTTGGGAATTTGATTAATTCGTTCCGGAGACTCCAAAAAGTAAAAAATATATACTTTTTTACTATGTTTATTTATATGTAATAGTAAAAATACATATATATGCAGTCTTGCATTTTTATTAGTCATGTTTTTTCTGCTTGTGGGGGGTTAAAGAATCTGTCCAATGTCGATTGTTTTTCTCTTTTCATCAGGATTTTTCAGAAGTAATTAATAGTATTGTAATTGTAGAAATCTCCAACTCCATTAACCTTATTCTGGTTTGGATGTCACTTGGATGATCATTGTTCTGACATTCTCCCACTTCTTCAAAAGATCTTTAGTAGTAGATATCGACATTGGTCCTCTTTCGTCTTCCTCTTTTTCGAAAGAAAACACATCTCGCTGAGTTTCTTGGTATTCTTCATTTGAGAGTTCTTGGAGTTCTTCTGTCGTCAGATCAGTTTCAGGTTTCATTATAAGCTCTAAAATGCTCTTTATTTCTCAAATGTGATTTTCATGACTCCATTAGCAGCTTGAGACTTCTTGATATATCTTTCATAGCTAAGATTGTGCCTACTGTAGACCTGCCTCATTTAATCAACTCTAAGTCATAACCCCTGCTCCGCCAAATGGCACTACAGAGAAACTAGGAGACGATGTCTTAATCATCGGCCGGTCCATCGTCTAGTGGCCACCAAGCGCCCAGACACAAAGCTGGCCTGAGAGTAGTGCTTGGGCTCTGGCTCTGGCTCAGGTCAAGATAGTCTGAGGATTATCGACCTTCATCGCCTTCATTGCTGTCCTTGCCTTCCTTGCCTTCATTGCGTCTCAAGCTTAGCCCTCATACGGACATGCGTTTTGTACAGTATAGCTGTACTTGAGAGAGCTCTACCAAGGAGAGGTACTCGAAAGAACGGGGCAGCGGGGCCTCCCTTCATTATAAGGGGAGGCCCTGTCCAGTGTCACTGGACTAAAGGTCAAAATGACCTAGTACAACATCCATCATAGTCCTTACAGTCTCTAAGTCTCCTTTACTTGCTGCAAGCGTTCTAAGTACTTGGTCATCGGGCTGGGTCCAATCGATATGACTGGCCCCCTTCCAGATATGCTCCGTCAGAGGGCACTCAAGCACGTAGTGCCTCGCGTCGCTGCGCGGGCACCCACAGGAGCAGCAACCGTTACTTCAACCGAATCTGGCCATGTAACGGGGAAACTTCCCGTGTCCCATAAGGATTTGGGTCAGTCTCCAATTACAACTGATCGGAGTTAGGCCAACTTCAGGCAGGAAGGCGTAGGTTGATCTACCTACTGTACTGAGCGCTCTTGCCAGTGTGTCATTGATCGATGCAGTAGAGTACCTTTTAAGTAACTTGCCGGAGGTTCTACCTTCTCCGTTACAAATGGGCCCTTAGCCGCCGCCTAGGCCAAGTAATCGGCACATTTGTTGCCCGGGATACCGATGTGGCCGCGTACCCATCTCAGGTCAACTTGTCACTGTAGACCTGTTTAAGCCATTCTGCCTAGCAATATTAGACATCTTGTTCCCACTTTCTACCTTGGCTATTATCTCTTGCTTGGTTTCTATGGTGAGCACAGTTCTTGATACTCCTCTTTTTAAGCTTCATAATATTATCAGTTTCTTTTTTAAATAAAAAGTTCAGAAAAGCACTTACAAAAATTCAGAGAACAGAAATCAACTAGCTCACAAAAAATTATTTAAATGCAAGGCCCGGATGAAATTCGAAATTTGGTATTAAAACGTTAACGAATATTCGATGAGACAGTTAAACTTTCACCTTTCGTAAATAAACCCCGACGCAAAACTTAACAAGTGCATGTCCGACAGTCTCGCGAATGCTATAAAAAATTATTTGTCAGAATGGTAAACAAAAAGCTAGAATTACAAGGGAGAGTTTCAAAACTCGGAGGAATATTATACTATCCGATCGGTATCGGGTTGACATCTCCCGCACTCCGAAAGGTTTTGAATTGTTACCTGAAGACATGGGAATATCAATCAGTTTCGTTATTTTTCATTGCTTCTTTTTATGTTTGTTCAGTAAAGTGTTTGTTAACCGAACATGTGTTCGTTATTCGATCATAAAAATCTTTTCCGAAAGTGTTTGTTATCCGATTTGTTCGCTATCCAAACTGTTCGTTAACCGATCACACACTGTATATTTAAGGATCCTAATAATATGTGGACATAAAAAAAAAACATAACAGAAGGCTACAGGTTGCTCATGCCTGATATAAACTAACATAGTCTTTTTTAATGAATATCTTATTCTAAGATTAACACCAATAACTGTCAATGTATTTTTTAGTAAATTAAAAACATTATTATGTACTTAGAAAAGAATATAACAATATAATGTAACAGGTGTATTCAGAAAGTATGTTCCAATGGACTATTAAAAATAAATGATAATTTAGTTTCAAACCATGTTTATTGCTCAGAGTACCTTATACATAGTTTCCATCATTGTTGAGGCACTCAACATTCTAGAATGATGCTGCCTCGATGCAAATCACATGCTCATGGTTTGATATTGTTATCATTATTGAAATACCAGACACCAGACTTTTTTATATGCAGGAACAAATGAAAATAATTTGGTGCTAGGTTGGTGTTGTCAGAAGATGATCCAATTGTTTCTAGCTGAATGTTATGATGTGATCTTGTGTTCTGGTGACAGTATATGGGCAAGAAGTATCATGAAGCAGCACAACAATATGACTAAGCATGCCAAGTTGCTTGTTCTGGATTGCATGATGCTGTTTCTTTAGTGTCTCACAATAGATGCCTGTATTGATTGAGTCTAGAGGCAAGAATTTCACAATAAAAATGCCCTTTCTGTCCCAAAACACTGTGCACATGATCTTTTGAATTGAAATGATCTGCTTGAATTTTTTTCTTGCTTGACGATGTATACCTCCACTGCATGGACTATTGATTGAGGGGTCATATGGAATATCTGTCTTGTCACCTGTGATGTGGCTCAAGAATTCATCACTTTACTATATTCTGTCAGGAAAGTCAACATACTATGTTAAACTTCATGCCATATATTATATCAGTGTTTCTCAACCTCTAACGAATCGTCGCCCCCTTCAACGTAGTATCACCCCCTTCAATAAAACCGTTACGTAGTATTGCCTCCTTCACTACAAAATTCCGATGCTGAGGGACAAGGCTAACACAAAATTCATACTGCATCGAATAGACTAGTGATTAGTATAATGTTATTTGTTTAATTATTGTACGATATAATGAATAAAATATCTAATTATTCTTAATATAATGTTTTACTAAATCGCCCAGAAAATAGTTTTTTGCCCCCAAAATATAAATTGTTACTAATCGCCCCTGAACATGGAAAAACGCCCACATGGGGGCGATATCGCCCCCGTTGAGAAACACTGTATTATATAATACTAGATACACACAGTCAGATGGTATTAAAATTGTTTTTATAATGCAAGTATTTTCAACAATACAAAATCGTTGTTATCAGGCTAGTGAACATCTCAGATTTAGACAAAACTTCACTATATGAAGTAAAAAATTTTCAACACTTAAACATTTAAAATTCACAATGGAATTCATGAGCCTCAAATTCCGTTGTGAATTTTGAGTGTTTAAATGTTGAGAATGTTATACTGCACTTAGCAAGGTTCTGTTCCAAATTCAAGTTGTTCACTAGCCTGATGATGATGATTTTGTATTGTTGAAAGTGCTTGTGTTATAAAAAGGATTTTAAGCACACTGTCAGATGGCATTATCTAGTAGTATAGTCAACATACTGCCAGTCCATTTCATTTTGTGTTTCTCAGTGAGTATTTGGCACCTAGCATGAGCACAGTTTCTGAAAATCCTGCTGATCAGACAAAATTTCATGCAGAAGTGACTGTGAATTTTTTGGAAATGCAAGAAAAGTGACAAAATGATGAATTGTCTGTCCTCATGAATTTTCACACTTTCTCTTCCACCATATGTACCAAATCTTCATTAATCACAGATGGTTGGCTGCTTTATGGATCATCATGCTCCATTTTCCATCCTTTATTAAAGTGTCTTACCCATCTCTATACTATTGAACCACTCATATCCTGTTTTCCATTTACTTCACACAGTTGACGACAAATGTCTGCCAGTTTTGTATGTCTTGCATTCAAGAAACAAATAACAGACTGCATTTCATAGGTGACAGGCCACTTACTTTTTGTGAACATTGTAAGCACACAAAATGAGAAGTCAACAGATCCAATTGTATGCAAATGGTACTGTTGTTTCCAGTGGATAAAGGAGGTCAGCATGCATGCATGTGCACAATCTTGACTGCAATGCTGAAGTGGCACTATTTGCAGATGGAACACTTTCTGGATATGCCTCATATTTATACTTGTTAACTTTGATATTAGAGTTTATTATTTTATTTTTTTAGTTTTATTTTAAACATGTCAATTGTAATTTCATAATAATTATAAGTTTTTCTTTTAATAGGTGTAAAAATGAAAAAATTCCATTTTTAGTGGGATGTATTGCAGAACTAACTGAAGAAGAAGAAGCACAATTATTGCATCCTGGAAGAAATGATTTCAGTGTTATGTATTCATGCAGAAAAAATTGCGCTCAATTATGGCTAGGTCCTGCAGCTTTCATTAATCATGACTGCAGATCTAACTGTAAAGTAAGATTTGTATTTTGATGTCATATCTTAAAAATACAAAAAGCTACAAAATTTTAAATTATACTTTAAATCGGAGGCTCTTAACTTTTAGGATTTGTAGTCTATAAAAAGAATCTCTTCCTGAAAGTTTTTAAATTATGAGAAAATAGTGCCCAAAAAATTAATTATTTTTGTGTAGAATTATATTGTAAAAAGTATCATAATTTTCTGCCTGTAATCTGCAGTGGCATATAATCCACAGATACAAGTTTTTGTTTTCAAAAATAATTTAGCATATAATTGCATTATTATTTATTTTCTTTCTTAGCACATCAACAATGAAATGATGTAATTTGAAGTATATTTAATAATTAAAAAGTATTCCTAAATGCAGAAAAGAAATTACACATTTTATTTAAAATTGTACAATGAAAGTTTAAAATCCAGGATTATAAAATATAGTCAGACCCTGTTATACAATGATTGAAACTGATACATTATGAAAGTTATTTTTGAATCCAAACAATTCGTTATACACTCTAATGGCTAAGTATAACAACTAAATGTTAAATATAATACTGTAATGATAATTAAGCACATGCTCTGTATACAAATAATTTGTATGTTTATTCATGTTTAATTTCATCTTGGATTTACAACATTAGCAGTCAAAAATTTAAAACAAAACACTTTCTGAAAAACTACTCCAGGATTATTGTTATAATCTGAAATTTATAATAAAGTTAAGGTGAATTGATGATAAATTAAATATATAAAATGAATAATAAAAATTCAATCATTATGTGGAATTCATTATAATGCTCCCAGGATGATGATTGATTCCTTTGGATTTAGTTGTCTTCCTGGTATTTTCAAAAAGTTTTATAATACAGTAGAGTCCTGTACAGTGCTCAAATAAAGCAAGCAACACCCTCGAATTTTGTTGATCCAAGGTATAAGTTTTTTTTTTTTTCAACTTATAGGCCAAGGTTTAAACTTTCATAAATCGTGTGATAATGCAGGTTTCAATAACACAATTTCTTATAATGCGTAATGAATTCCCTGCGTTGTACGGAACTCTACTGTAAATAAAATACAAGGATCTCAATGATATTGTCCATTGTTTTCCACTTGTAGCAAAAAAATGAATCATATAACACTCATTTCCACACCCGATACATTTAAAGCTAGACACCAACCAAAGTCGAATATTATCAGGCTAGAAACGGCTATAATACTAATAATTTAAAAGACAATTTGGTATTAGAGTTAGGTGTTAAGTGCCATCTCTTGATAAATTTAATAATTATAATTTAATTAAATAATTTTAGAATTACTGGAAGAAAAGAATTGGCCCGAAGTGGGACTCAAACCTACAACTGATTACTGTGCAGATGTATTGCCAATTACGCTACCTGGACCTTCGGTCCAATCTCCTCTTCACCTAATTCTAATACCAAATTGTCTTTTAAATTATTAGTATTATAGTTGTTTCTAGCCTGATAATATTCGGTTTTGGTTGGTGTCTAGACTCATTTCCATCTCTACAAATGAAACGTTGTAGTTCAGCAGATTGAAGTTTGATGGCAGCACAGTGTTGACTGTCACCATAGTCAGTTGTGCATTCTAAAGCAATGTTCTCATGAAAGGAACAAATTTCTCTCATCAAAATACAAGTGACAGAAGGAACAAACTCTGTAAAGTGTCACAGAGGACTTGTTGAAGCTTGTGATGATGTAGCATTTCTATTTCCAACATTAGTTTGGTAGTCAAATTATTATTTCAACAACCCAATAATGTTGTTTTTCCCAAACATATCATGACTTCAGTATGTTATAACCATTTTTTTTTTTAAAGTACCTTTAACAAAATGCATTTCAGAGTTGTATTCTTCAGTTGTTATACAGTTGATACCATGTTTCCCCGAAAATAAGACATTCTCTGAAAATAAGACCTAGCACAAGTTTTGCTGAATTGCAAAATATAAGACCTTCCCCCAAAAGTAAGACCTAGCAAAGTTTTTTTAGTCGTAACAGTCATCGACAGATGGTTGAAAGTGGCTGTTGGCTTTTTGAAAGTACAGCCACTGATTGGCCAGCAGACAATCATGCCACATGGCATGATTTGCATAAGACTGTGGATTGGAAATCGCAGATTTGCATAACATTACAGCTGGTGATCGCTAATTGGTCGGCTGGGAATCGTGCCACATCACATTTGCATAGTGCTACGGTTCAGTAAGCACTAATTGGTCATCAAGCTCAATGTCGGCGCTTTTCATAGCGTTGACATTGGGCTCATTGATCAATTAGGGCTAAGTTGAAGCAAGAGTGGGAAGTTCACTCCAGCACGGGAACTTCATAAGTTCAGTTCGACACGACTGGATATATGTCACTCTCGTTTAAGTTAGACTTGGGAATTTTTTTTGTTCAACAATAAATGTGAATTCATCTTCATGGAAAAATAAGACATCCCCTGAAAATAAGACCTAGCGCATCTTTGAGAGCAAAAATTAACATAAGACACTCTTATTTTCTGGGAAACAGGGTATTAAAATTTGATTTGTGCACCAAATTTTAATATGTAACAATTGTATAACAATTGAAGAGGAATGATATGACTGAAATTTTTTTAAAGGTACTTAAAAAGAATTAAAAAAAGAGCATTATAACATACTAAAGTTGTTATAAGTTTGAGAAAAAAACATCACTATTGTTGAAATAATAATTTGATACAGATCCTAACAAGAAGCTAAATGAAGAATAGTTTGGTGTTTACCATCTGTAAAGGCCATTCCACTACCAAGTGGTAGAATGGATTTGATTGTCTTGTTACTGCTATCAACCAAGAACATATCTGCCAAATGGAGGTATTCTTCAGGAAGATTGCTGATGGGCATTCGAAGAATTGGTGAGTGACATTCACCAATTCTTGAAGAATTGGTGAATGTCACTCACCAATTCTGTTAGTGCCACTGACTGCCAACTATCCACCAACATTGAAGAATTGTATAATTCTTCAATGTTGGTGGATAGTTGGCAGTCAGTGGCACTAACAGATCTGTTCTGCCACTTGGTACAGGAATGATCTTTATAGATGATGAATACTATTGGAAATGAAAGTGCTGCATCAACACAAGCTTCAGCAAGTCCTCTGTGATACTTTTCATTCTTTTCATGTTCTTTTCATGAGAACATTATTCTAAATCTTCCCACAGCTGGTTATATATTAGTAAATAATAAGTGCTTTCGACCAATTAGGGACCTGAAGCAGATCCTAATTTAGGGATCTGCTTCAGGTCCCTAATTGGTTGAAAGCACTTGTCATAGCATATTTATATTAAAACTAGCTGTTACCTGTGGCTTTGCCCGTGAGGACTTTGCAAGCAAACTCTATTTATATTCAGTATTTCAACAACCATATTAATTGTTATATAACATCTACCGCTGAGAATGATGAGAATTGCCAAGAATCAAATGAACCATTTTCAATTTGATCAATTTTCTGGAACGTTTGCAATCGTTCTATAATCGAACCAATATGCAATAACAAATTTGAATTTAAAACGGTTCGAACATTTGGTTAAAAAATCGAAATATATCAAAATATTTATAACAATGTCTGAAATGTTATCAATTTAATACATCTATGTACTCAATGAAGACTAAACGTAATTAAAAACAAAAAAATCGCATCTAAAATAGTACAGTAGAAGCCATTTTTCCAGTTAAGCCTTAATCCTCTCCCTCTCCCCGTGGGAGAATTTCGAAAAATCCCTTCTTAGTGTTACTAAAACGCAGATAAAAATAAAATATTGCAAGAGTACAGTAGAAGCTGTTCTTCCAGTTATTCCTTAATCCTCTCCCTCTCCCCTCTGCCTAGGAATTTCAAAAAATCTCTTTTTAGTGCACGTTTTCATGACGTACCCTAACTGTGTACCAAATTTCACCTCTTTAGGTTCAGTGGTTTGCTCTGTGTGATGATGAATCAGTCAGTCAGTCAGGACAAGTAATTTTATATATTTAGATATATTTGCTGGTTTAATTTTGAAGGGTTTTTTTTTTTTGGTGTTATGAGAAAATTGTTTGAGTGCACAACTAACTATGACAACAGTCAAAGCAGTGCTGCCACTAAATGTCAATCTGTAGAACCATGACATTTCAGGAGTAGAGGCAGAAATGAGGCTGTTACATGATGCACAATTTTCATTTTTGCTACATGTGGTAAACATTGGACAATATAAAAATGGTTAGATCATTACACCAAAATATTATCCATTAAAACAAGAAATAATTACTGTTTATTGGTATTAAACAGTTTTTATTATCAACACTTTTGACATTTTTATTAATGCCATCTTCAGGTAAAAAACATAACTTTGGAACATTAAAATTTTAAAAAAAGAGGAACATTAAATATTGAAAAAGGATTTCAAATTTTTATAAGTTAAATTTAAATCAACATAGGCACAAGAATAACATGCGCATAGAAATAAATTAATATGAAATAACAATAAAATTAGATAAAATAATAAGATAGACATTTACATGCTGTTAGTAAATTTAATATTACAGCAAATAGGTACAGTAATACCATGAAAACATAAATGTTAAATGCCCAAATTTTTAAAAAGTGATACCCAAATTCTTGGAAGATTTAATGTAGATTTATTACATGGTTCCATTCTTTCAATAAATAATGCCTCCCAGATAAAAGATTACATTGATTGTAGAAAGAGAGTTTACTTTTATAACCATAACAAGTGAGCTATAGAACTTTCTAGAAGTGTGGTGGAAAAGAATTGTGTGCCAAAATGGAATGAGACTTCACTGTTAATGCATTGTGTTGACAAAAAAGTTACTTTTATCTGGGTGTATGCCATTCTTGTGCCTATGTTGATTTAAATTTAACTTAGAAAAATTTGAATTCCATTTTTGAATATTTAATGTTCCTCTTTTTTTAAAATTTTAATGTTCCAAAGTTATGTTCTTTGCCTGAAGATGACATTGATTAAAATTAAA